CCGCCACCGGCAGCGGCGGGGCTCGGCCCGCAGAGACGGGCCCTGAGCGAGAGAGGCCTCCTCTCCCCGGAGAGGCGGCCACACTTAAGCGTGGGTGGGCTGGATGCCCAAGAAAAGGGGATTTATTTATTTTTTTTTCGGGTGCTGCTGGCTCGTGGACGCCATCAGGCTGCTCTGGGCTCGACTGGACTGCAGGGCTGTTCGTTGTCCACCTTTGTCGTCTGGGTTTTCTTCCTGAAGAAGAAAGAAGCTTTCGGGTTAGTAACTGTGTTACTGAGCAAAATAGAACATCCTGTGCTTTGTATGTAAATTGTACCCTTTAGAGAACTATTGTTTAGAGAGTTCTATTTGGGCATGAGGTCCTCTTCATTAAATCCAACATGAAATTTTGTTGCAAGAGAATTCATCATTTAAAAAGAAAAAAGTATTACACTGGACACTCAAGATAATTTAGATGTATAAAATTTCTTGTATTTCTTCTAAATAAATGATCTGAATAATTTAGTGTTATCACAGATGTGGCTTAAGTGTCCCAAAATATACGTTTAATAAAAAAGTCTGTTTTAGTATTAAGACAACTAGTAGTATTTCACAGGATTTTGCTAGCATTCTCTTCTTGCATTGTTATTACAGTAAAAGGTTAGTCAAGGTCCTTTTCTTGCAAACAGTTATGTGTGCGGCTAATTTTAGCAGGAATTAAATCTGTAGAAATGCATTTTAGCATCTACATGAGTGTTTTTAGAACTGGATACAGGAATATGTACTTTTAATGGGACTCTCCCCCCTCCTCTCCCATTTCCTTTAGTGCCATACTTCATTGCTTTGTTGCTTGCAGGCCTTAAGGCATAGAGTTAGGTAGTGCTAAATCCTAGTCAGTGTACTTCGGATCAACAGATTTTTTTTTTTTTTTAGATGGTTGTAAACTATGAAATGCTGAAATTAGTGGCATAAATTTAAAAATTGTTCGTATATGTAATGATAAACAACTGTATAAACATCTCTGAGTGCTCTCGAAGACCCTGCTTTTGATGTAGTAGTCATTTGAGAGTGTGTTGCTTAGCTTATTGGAAGAAGACCACCGAGCAATTGAGTGATGTGCCAGAAATGCCAGACAGAAATAAAGCTAGGCCTCAGTCCTAGAGCCACAAAGAAGCAGACCTCCATTTCAGTAGGGTACTGTGTAGTACATTATGTATACCTGCCTTTATACAATGCCAATAAATACCAAACAATTGGATGTTTTTTCACCTCTGCATTTGAAAAATAGTGATTTACTTTTAATTGGTATTTTGCATAACTTGTAAGTATTAAAAATCTTGAATGTTACTGTTTTTTTTTCTGTAGAGTGAAGTAACTGTATTTTATAATAAAAGTGAGCTCTAAAAACCTGATGGGTGTTCTTTGCTCGTCTTAATTCTCTGCATTGATGTTCTGTACTCATTTTGATGGAAAAACTTTATGAATTTCAGGTGCAAAAAGTGTTACAACTATGTGATTAGCTGTTACTGTGAAACGAGAAAGGATTGTAGGTGAAACTTCTTTGTTGTATTTGACTTGTTTGTTTTTGATGCAAAATCAATTCTTTTAATTAATATAATATGTTATACTTGAGTGAAGCACTTTGGATTTCTCCCAGTCATTAGGCCTAAAATTAGTGACTGATAATAGGCGTCTTGGTAGTTGGGTCAGTAAAAACAGTTAACTTTGCTTAACAGAGAGAGTCAGTTGATGTTAAATGGGTAGTATGTGACACATACATAATTGTAACATACAGAAAAGATAATTTTAAACTTACACAGAGATTCAAGTTTTTTACAGAGACTCAAATTTCATACGCTGCATCTTCCTGATAGTGTCTTCAAGTTCTGTTTAAACTTCTTTCTCTTAGGAGATAATTTATATACCAAATTGGGCCTTGATTGTTGGATGCAGCCTGTGAACTTAGTGTGTGAGGTGTGGGCTTTGCTGAGTCTTTGCTGATCTTATTTATTTGATCATATGATAAATGCATGGTACTCGGCACACCCGTTCCATTGTTAGCAGCATTGAGATAAAAAAAAACTACTAAAGCACTGGAAAATCAAATATTTTTCTTTGAAATGATAAATAATGTATTAATGTATTTGAAGTAAATAGAAATTTCAGGGGTAGACACTGGCAATTCCTGTCTGACAGTGGCCACAACAGCGATTTGTAATCTACTACAATGCAGAAGATCTTCTATTGATGAATTTGGCATAGTCAGGCTGCAGAAGCCTATTTTTCTTGGGTTTTAATTGGTCTTTGTTTTCTAACCTATTTATGTACATGTGATATCCACTGTTTGGAATGCCTTTTGACTCCTGTGGATCTATTGATCACTTTGTCTTGAGCAGCAGCACTCAAGATATACCAGTGTTGTGTGAAAGGCAGGAATATTTGGTTTTATTAAGTGCCTGACTTTTTAACATTGCTGTATTGCATGTGTTTGGTAGAAAAAGCATTTAAGAGTTTGGTTTATATTTCTTCTGTTGTTGTTTTTCCTCGTAAGTTTTTTGCTTCTAATTTTTTTCAAAACTAGGACCTCTAAATTTTTTTTAATTTTTTGTGATTTGGGTACCTTATTGTATTTCAGAGTATTTTTACATAATTTTTTCTGAATCCATTCTTGTAAATGCAGTGACTGGAGTTGATTTTAACAATCCTAGTATCTCTTACTCCATTCTGCATCTATCCTGTTCTTGTGCTTGCCATTCAGATTCCATATAGACTTTCAGGTTTTCCTTTAATGATACCTTTGGATTGGTCTTTGTGCTCTGCATTTGATTGTAACTTGAAAAATTGTTTATGTGTCTTCTAACTAAATCTTTTGAAGCATGTCTCTGCTAACTCTTTAAATACCAAAACAAATCTTTGGGGGCATTAATTCCCCTCATCACCCTTTCTTCCCCTCTCCCCGCACTGGTACAGAGTGAAATGATGCATGGTTGTACTACCTGATTGTGTACATTGATGATCTCATTTTTCTGAAGTAACCAAAAAAAAGCAAACAGTTGTTTTTCAATGTAAGAATGAAACTACAATGTACTTTTGGGCTTGTTTTATCCAAGATAATGATAAAATGGACCTATTTGCATCAAAATGTGTTTTATTAACTAATTGGTGTTTGGGAAAGATTGGTGTATAAGTAGCTAGGGAGGCAACAGTGATGTCACTTCAGCATCAACTGGTTATTCAGTTCTTTTTCACATTGCACTGGGTCTGGCTGGGATGGAGTTAAATTTTTTCATAGCAGCCTGTACAGTGCTGTGTTTTGGATCTGTGGCTAAAACAGTGTTGATAACACTGTGTTTTGCCTGTTGCTGAACAGCGTTTGCAGAATGCCAGGGCTTTCTCCCCGCTCCTGCCTCTGCTACAGTGAGTAGGCGTGGGGTGAGCAAGAGATTGGAAGGACACAGCGCTGGGAGGGCTGACTACAGTTGGCCAGGGGGATAGTCATAGAATGGTTTGGGTTGGAAGGGACCTTAAAGGTCATCTAGTTCCAGCCCCCCTGCCATGGGCAGGGACACCCCCCACTAGAGCAGGTTGCTCATGCTCAGCACATGAAAATTGGACGTAGAGGAAGGGGGAGGTGGGTTTGGCTTCCAAGGTGGCTGTTGCTTGGAGACTGGCTGGGAATTGGTCTGCTTGTTTGGCTTCCAAGGTGGCTGTTGCTTGGAGAGGCTTGGGAGGCTTGGAGGCTGGGAGGCTGGAGGCTGGGAGGCTTGGAGGCTGGGAATTGGTCTGCTTCTGGAAGGTGGTGAGGGATTTCCTTTGTGCCACCTCCCTGTGTCTTTCCTTCGCCTGTTAAACTGCCTTTGTCCCAACCCATAAGCTTTCTCCTCTTTTTCTCCAGCTCACTTCCCTTCCTAGGAAGGGTGGGGAACCGGTGGGTGGCTGCTGGCTGGGATCAACCCACTGCGCAGCCGAAATGCAGGTGCAGTAACTCCAACAGCATTCAAAACCTGGATTCTAGCAACGTGGTATTTGTCACAGGTCTGAATGAAAGCTTGGTTGGGAGTTACATACCTATTTGTTTGATTTAGGAAAGTGAAAACAGCTTTATATATGAAAGTTTAGAATGATTACTACTCTGTTCTTGAATTACCTCTCTTAAATGTTTTTAGTGTCCTCTTGGACTGAGCAGTTCAGATCTGTCTGGTAAATGGGAGTGTTCTTAAAATGTTTGACATTGTTTCATTATTGCTCTTTAAAGGTGGTGGATCCTTTTTTGTGTTGTCCTCTAAGGTGAAGTTTGCAGTATTTAAAAACGCATAAGAAAACTCTCTGGTTTTAGTACTTTATTTTTTTTTTTTTTTTTTTGGTGGCCAAGGATGTTGATGGCATAAAGTGCTCTATTCTTATCTTTTATCAGTTTATATGGAGGGCAGTTTCAGTATTGGTGGATAGCTGTTAACAGGGGAAAAAAAAAAGGGCAAAAATTGATCTAACTTCACTCTTTCCTTTCAGATGCAATTTTTGTTCTTTCTTAAAGCTGCATAGAAATCTTCAAAGCATCTTTGGTCTGGATCTTGATCTTATCAAGAATTCTTATTAATTTTCTCATGAAATAAATCAGTGGATCTCCTGAATATAGGCCTAGCATCACAGTTGTGTGTCAGCACAAGTGTTTTAAGCCTAAGAAGTGATGTTGGCAGGGGAAGAATTGTCCATCTGATACTACCAGAAGCTTTTGTTTTTCTTTCCTCTTTAGAATCTGGAATAGAGAGCATAATGTTACCAACATTACAATTGCTTAAAAAAATATTTTCAGATTATGGTACAGTAGTCATAAATACTTTCCTTCTTCCTGGGAGGCTGCCATTGATTGTCTTTCACATTGGGATGTAGAGATTTTTAACATAGGTGTGTATAGCTATTGCAATGGGATGAGATTACTAAGTCCTAAGAGCTACCTTCTAATGAGTTTTACAGGTGCACAGGCACCCATCTGCTAAAGACTGAAAAGCCCATTCTGGCATCCCTAACCAGTTTTCTGAATTGTTTTTATTGTTGTTTGATGTTATGTTGGTACACTTGCTTATTGCAGAGCCAGTCTTTAAGGCAACATTCCTATAGCAGTCAGGGATGTTGGCAGATGAAGCACAGGGAGATGCAAGAATAACTTTCTGGATTAGGTGCTTACTTCTGTCAAGCGAATGTGAAGGTGTAGCCTAGTGTGAAGTTTTACCTCATTCATGTAGGGTTATTGTAATAGGATGCTACTCTAGGTGCTTTTGGAGCCCAAATCAGATCCTGCTCTCTGTAAGTAGGCTTGGACAGGAACTGGATTTCAGAAGTAGAACCCTTCTGTATGATGTGTTGAAATGTGAAGGAATGTAGAAATAACCTAATGAAATAGGGTCTGTATGTGAATGTAGATCTGTGCAATGGTATGTCTATAAGTGAGAGTGTTTGAATGAAAAAGATGTTGAGTTGATGTCACTGGTTACTGTTAGCTCTGGGCTTTGTTTTATGTATGTCTCAAAAGGCTAATTTAGTTTTTAATTTGCCAAATAACAGTGGTCTCATAGTCCTGGCAAAAGCTTGAAGCCTGAGATCTTGTTCATGTTAAATACAGAAAAGAGGCACTAAGAATGCTGGAACCTGTGGGGCCAAATATACTGCACAAGTTAATGTGTTGGTTTTACACTGATACTACTGTTTTCCTTCTGCCTTCCATGGCATTGTTTATTTTGCTTAATGGACACATTCTGTATTATGAGGATGGAGTAAATTATTTATATGCTTGTCCACATACATAGAAGTGATTACACTGTGCTATTAATAGAAGTGAAAGTAATTAATTTTGCAGCCGCAGATTGTTTTGACTTCATTACTTACAGAACATGTGAAGTATAAATCACATCTTGTTACGAATTAGTGTTCAAGGCTGTTTGGATCTGAAACATTGGCACCAACTAGAAAAGAGCTTCCTTCTGTACTGTAGGAATAGCCATGCTAACTTAAAAATTCCTTTATTTAAAAACAAACTTGCAGTTGTGTGATTCTAGTAACCATTGCAGTCGCTCTCCTTTTTCCTGCTGGGATTCATGAACAAGTGTCACTTGCCGTGTTCTGTAATATCTTTTTGTGAGTTAAGGGCTATATATGAACTGAAATAATATTCTGCTGCTCAGTTCTGTTACCAAGTGTCTGTCTTGTTAGGCTTATAAATTAATTTCTTAAATGTAAAATTTTTCATGACATGGAAAAATAGTATGAACTCTTTACGTTTTGATGCATAGCAGATAATTTTTATGAATTTATGAACATTTTGAATAAGAGCAAATGCCAAAGAATTGTTTGATTTGGTGTGTTTTGCTTAGAGTTAATGGTTGTATGTGCAGAATACAATCAGAGGTATATTAACAGTAGACTTGCACTCTGTAATTCAGCTGTAGTCCACTAGTAGTTCAATTATTAGTTTGTTGTATTTCAGCTGTCAGTGAATAGTAACTGACTTAATCTTCTGCTTTTTATTCCTTAGTGCTGCAAGTTCATTGAATAAAATTAAGAACGTGGAATATAATATGGATGCAGTTCCTTGATCACCGTTTCCTCCAAAGTGTATATTCTGCAGATTGGTAACCTGAATGATTGATTGATAAGCAGCATACACAAAACTAATATCAAGAAAACATTCTGTTGCTGCTGTGTTTGACAAAACTGGTGCAGAATCACGTCTTCTGAAATGCAGTTGAAAAAAATGAGGGAAATTTTACCAAGATTGTACCCTGGCCAAGTTAACGATAAAAATAATTCCTTAACTACATCCCCAAAGCAATCTGCTGAGGATAAGACAAATCCATCAAAAGGGGATGATGACCAGAACTGCTGTTACCAAGGCACTGAGGCTGAGAACAATAAGTTGTCACTGATAAGCTGTATAAAATGCAGAAATGTTCAGAAAATTTCAATGCAAGATATAGAAAAGCATAAGAAGCTTGGGTGGACTGAAGACAAAAATTTCATCTGTAAGAAGTGCAGTCATATCACACCACCAGCTTTCCATTTTGTTCCTGAGGGTGCCAATGGTGTAGACTTTGAAAAAAAATCCACAAGTAAAACCCAGGGAACATTTAAAGTTAAAAACTTTCTGCCTGGTAAATACTACTGTGATAAATGCAGATTTTCAACAAAGGATCCTTTACAGTATAAAAAGCATGTAAGTCAACATGATGAAATTAAATTTGTTTGCTCCTACTGCAGTAATGTATCCTACACCAAAGGAGAATTCCAGAGACATTTGGTGAAACACACTGGAACTTTTCCGTATCAGTGTGAATACTGTGATTATGGTGCTGTTAGACATGACTATATAGTAAAACATACGAGAAGAGTACACGAAACACCCACAAAACGGCTGTCAAATACTATTATAAACCACAAGCAAAAGAAGCTGAGTCGGAGCACTTTATTTGAAAAGCAGAAATATGATAAAATTCTTTTGCAGAGTGACGTTTCAAATTCATCTTCAAATATGGTTTGTGAGATTCCAGGTAAAGCAACTAAAACAGTCTCTTCGTCTCGTGATGTAGAATGTAGCATAAACACAGCGTCAGCACAGGATAAAACAGTATTGGAGCCGTCTGAAATAAGTGTGTGTGAGAATCAAAGTGTGGAAGTTGAGGTTTATTCTCCAAAAACAGAGCCTTTACAACCTGGGATGCCTTTAACAGTAATTGCACCATCTGAACTTGTAGTTCCTTCTAACTGTTTAGCTCAGATAGTAGAGATTAAAATAGTGAATGGAGCACAGCAGCTGGTTCTTAAACTAATTCCTATGAAAGAAGCAACTTACAAACCTGAAGAGGACCATGAGAATCAAGGTATAGTACAATCTACAGGAGGAAAGAAAACATCTTCTGTGTCGCAAAATGAGTTACTAACCATGGAAGTGAATGTAGACAAATTATCCAGTGTTAGTAACCAGCTTAATTTGGATAGTACGGATGACAAGAATTCTGAATGTCTTTGTTTTTATGATTCCCAACTCTCAGACTCTAACACTGTATCTATACAGAGGGAAGATGCATCAAAATTATGCTTTCATTTGGTGAAAGGTATTGATGTCCATACAGGTGTTATAGAACTTTGTTCTCCATCTCTGGTGATAAATAGTACTGAAAAAAAAAGTGATCTTAAATCCTCAAGATGGGAAGTAGATGGAAAAAACTTACATTACGACTTGTATTGCTATGAAGAAGCTGTGGATAGACCCCCTCCAAAATTTGCTGCTGTTTCTGAAGATAAAAGTTCCAAGAACGTTTCAGTAGAGGCTGCTCAGGAGGGCAAAAATTTCTCTTCTTCTGCAGTCCTTAAACAAAAGGATGCATTGCCTCTAAAGAGGGATGACAAAGAATGTAGGGGTCTGGCAGTCAGCTCTACGGAAACACATTTAGCTGGTAAGGGTTTTGACAAAAAATCTGTTACGCTTTCTGAAGCGGAAAAAAACTTTCATGTTACTAAAACTCTACCCTGTGAGGACACGACTTCTGGCTTTAGCAAAGTAAAGAGTGCTGAAACCATAAGTCAAAAGAACAATCTTCTTCTGGAATCATTAGAACTACAGAAGGTGGAAAACAAGGACAGCACTTTTGAGGGACCTGTTATTTCGTCTGTATTTTCTCTGAGCTCTGGGTCTGAAGACATTCCAGAGGGTATCAGATGGGATGAGACAACATGCAATAAGAAGTCAGCAACAATCCTGTGTAGAAAGATCGCTCGGCTCATGTCTGCTGCTGAACCTAACATGAAATCCATGCCTTGGAGATGTCAAGCTTCTAGTAAAAAGGTATTTTTCCCTCCAGAAAATTCAGCCAGCTGTGAGAGAGTTGTTCCTGCCACTGAGCTGGAACAGTCTTTGCCTCAAGTCCATGGTGGGAGCGGTGTAATTAGTAATGAAGAACACAGTAAAGATCAGTTGCTTACATTTGCAAGAACATCTAAAAGCAGGGTAACTAAAAATTCCCATGTTGCTACTCCAGTGTTTATCCCCAAAGGGACAATGTTGAGAGTGCTGAACGCTACTAGCAGTCAGAACTCAAACGGAATAGAAGACAGCAGTGAAACATCAGCTCCTTCTGTGTATTGCAATGAAATGTTTCTGCCTCGACCAGTTCCTGTCAGTGTTTCTGAGACACGTAGCAGTGATTTGCCACGTTTGCCAAATCAGAGTGAACCGAACACTCAGCCCCGAAGTATAACACTCAGGCAAAGACCAAGGCGAGAGGCAAGTGTTAAAAATAATAGCAGACAAACTGATGCGAGTAGGCAAAGCAAACACTATTCGAGAAGTCAACTAGGTCCTAAAAATAAGGCGAAACAAGCAGGCTGCAGGGAGCTTGCTAAGAGGAAAGCAAGAACTCAGTCGGAAACCAGTTCGGATTCTGACACGATGTATCTGTTGACTGCGAGACGTCTTCGGCTTGTCCCTCTGAGAACGGATCAGCTGATAAAATGCCCTCGTCGCAACCAGCCAGTTGTGGTACTAAACCATCCCGACGTTGACTCGCCAGAGATCATTAATGTCATGAAGACTATCAACAAGTATAAAGGTCAAGTCCTGAAAGTGGTTCTGTCGGAAAGGACAAGTAGTTTTCTTGGTGTTAGACGCTATCGAAAGCGTCTTACTCTTCAGAATGCTGAGACGGGAAATCAAACAAAAAAGCAGAATATGCTAAAAATGAAACTGAAAAAGACCCATAAAAACAACTACCAGGTGGTGGATTCTTCACCAGCTGAAACACTTCAGTGTATGTTTAAATGTTGGTTTTGTGGAAGGGCATATGTGGACCAAGAAGAATGGATAAGTCATGGGCAAAGGCACTTGATAGAGGCAACCAAGGGTTGGGATGTTCTTTCTCTTCCAGGAAAAAAGTATTAAGTGAGAGACTGGGGGACGGAGGAGGGGGTTCCCCTCCTAATGAGTATTGCTAACTTGCTTGGAAAGGAAGATTGAAATAACTGCTTTACTTTGCCAAAAGGTCTTTATTGTTAGCGAAGTGGGAGAGGAGAGCAGAGTTAGACACAGAGAAGTCAGTAGTGAGGATTAAGCACTACTTTGCACTCTCATGTTTGAAATTTTGTTTTAGAGGTCAACTTCATCTGTTCTGTAGGAGAAATTTGAAAAAGATTTGCTATGCAAACATCTTTCTAGTTACCATTCTGTGTGCTAGGATACTGTGCTGTAACTGGTTTCTACTAGGTCCGTAGGGATTAAAATCTTAGATGATGAGATCTTTGTAAATTTAACAGGGTTTAGTTTGCTTTATTACAGCATGATGTTTCAGAGGCTGAGCATACATGTACTGAAAAACGCCTTTGATCCTCTGTGGGCAGCAAATGCGTATCATAGATTTTACTGGTAAATGAAGCACCACGCGTAAAAAGTAAAACTGAAATGGAAGCACTCTTGATTCTGCAAAACACAAGCATTTCTGCGGACTGCAGAGGAGATACAAGGTTGTAAATGAATCATTGGGATCAGTGTTACTTTCACTAGGTCAGATGGCACTAAAAAGTTTAATTTTGTTTACTTGGTTTTAGTCTTTATCTAGCCCTTATTGTGTAGATTTGAGAGAGCAGAACGCTGTCAGTTTTGTTCTGCGTAGGCAAAGCCAGAGGTGTTATCAGGTAGGAGAGAGCTTTCCTTTGTATGGTCTCAAGGCTGTTCTGAAATCGAAGGCAGTAATGATCAGACATAAACCCTCTACCACCGTGTGTGTGTAGCCTGATAGAAGCACATTTGCAGAATAGAGCATTTGGTTAGAACTCTAGTTGGTGAGTTAATGCCTATTTACACGAGGAACTCGCTGAAGATGAAGGCTTTTCAAAATGAAAAACCGTGTTGCACAGCTTTTACATTGACAGTGTTGAACCAGGTTTTTGATGCAATCTTTCATCCTTCTTAATATTAAGAATTTAGAGGTTGTTAGAGTATATTTTTTGTAGGCCTCAATTCATACAAGCATGTGCCTAGTTACATATGTAGATCTTAACGTATATCTGCTGACTTCATTAAAGTGTAAATGATGCTTAAACACTTTCTTAATTCAGGGCCAAATTTCAAGTTTTTAGTGAAGAGGAGGGATGGATGAAACTGAAGTCTAATTTCTGTACGTGAACAATAATGTTTTTCTTCATCTTGTCAATTTTAAATCATTTTAAAATCATATAGAGTGAACTATATTGAAGCACATATTTGCAGTTAAAATAACTTCTTACATTTTTACAGATACGAAGTTCAATACTGACTCTAATGCTGGATGTGTGTTCTGTGTTTGAACTGGGACTCCTCTTGGAAAACCTGGTAGTTCCTAACGCTTTTCACTGTTGGTGCAATTTTGTAAGCAGTTTAAGCTGGGAATATATTTTTTTTTTATATACTCCAGCAGATTATACATTGTTTTGATAAGGTATGTATCGTATCTGCATTGAAATGTAAATAATTTAAAACTACATCTGTCTGAGGCTTGTTTTCAAAGCAAGTTACAACATTGCTTTCCCATCGTTTTGCAATACATGTTAAAATCCTTCAGATAGTTGGTGCTTTACGTCAGGTCTTTTTTGTCATGTACACATGGACAATTTTTCTATCATTTGTATCTGACTAACGTATTTCACAGAACAAACTTCCTTTTGTCTGTTTTGTCAGTAATAATGAAATGACAGTTCTCATTTTGTATTCAAATGGAATTATATTTTTTTAGGTGGGTACACTTGAGGGTTTTTTTCACTTCATGTACTTTGATGCCAAATCTAACAGTACTATTTGTGTTTTGGATTATGAAAACAGCTTGCATTGAAGCTTCCATTGAAATTATGGCATATCACATAGAATAAATACTGACATCATTAACATAAGAAAAAAAGGTTAAAATTCCGCCTTTGTTTTAACTCCTTCAGTCCTTACTGTTTGAATTAATTTTGTTTCTGTAGAAGGTACTTAATATATAGTTTTGAATTTGCTTGGTAAGAGTTGTCACTGGCAAAATTAGAACATTCCTCATGAAAGCTGTACTGGGGAGGGATGGGGGAATTGTTGCTGCTCATGTTTATAAACTCTAAGTGGTTTAAGCATACTAGTAATGCTTGTCTTTTGTAAGCAAGTTTACTGTTTTAGTAAACATCTGCAAAGCTTTGTATGTCACTACCATAATCTACTATCTAAGTTGTTAAACTGTGGCTTTTTTTCTCATGGGTTTAATTTAGAAAACATTTGTTTTGTTTTAACATGAAAACCTTTTGTAAGTTAAATTGTATGGTGGCTATGAAGGTCTTAAAGCAGCTTACGTCATGTCTCCCTTCTTATGAGCTCTGCCAAACTCTACTTAGCAGCTTATGTTTTGTTAATTTTCATTCTTATTATTAGATAATGTCATGTCAGAATAATTTCCTTCAAGTTTAACAGTCTCAGTGATTTGAGAGAAATAATTATAATGAATGTTCTCTTGCAATTTTGATGCAGCATTTAGAAATAAAAAGATTGCAAGGAAAAATAACAGCCAACTGCTAAATTTTTTAGAGCTAGTTTGTGCTAGTACATACTGTACCATAAATTGGGTTGGAATATCATATTTTGGGCTTGAATGTTTTTATTCTTCTGTAAGGATAAAGTAACTGGGGTTGCTTCCTTGCTATATTCCAATTACCAAGTCAAACTTGTGAGTGTGCTTAGAAAGGAAGATTATGGATGCTTTGCAGAAAAGTTCTAAAGTTTGCCTTTCATATTTATAATGAATTTAGTTAAGCCTTCCAAAGTTCAAATTATATGAATAAATATTACTGTCATTTGCTTGAAAAATACCACCTTCTCGTTGTCGTTGATACTTATTTGAACGTACTTTCTTGCTGAGTTTGAAGCACATCTGCTGTTCTTACTGATGATTTCTGTCTCCATATTTGCACATGAGATGGATTCAAAGGGACTGTTTGTATAATGGTCTTCCTATGTGAGTGTTTGAAGGCTCAGATACGGAATACAAGTATCTGCTACATAAGCTAAAGAATAAGTGTTAGTTAAGTAATAGAATTTATGTAATTGAAGCCAGCCTTATAATCTCCTCCAATTCTGAAGAGCATAGACTGACACCCGCTGATGTCAGTGCCTGCTGAGCGCAGCTAGTTACTGTGCAGACACATATGCACAGCAAAGGAAATTGTTAAATAGTGACTACTCAGATAAATAGCATTTCATGTGTATTTTTAAAAACAAGAGCATTTTTTGTGTGATTGTAGTATGCTTTATTAGGTTTTGCTACTAAGAGCTTAAGCGACATTTAGGTAAGCAAGGCGTAGTTTGGGTTTTGTCTTGTGTTAGAAGGTAGAGTGCAAGATAAGCAAATTACTCTATCACTGTGAAGATACAGGAGTCAGTCTCTCTTAACACTTTTCTATGAATTAATCCAATGGTGTATACTTTACCTGTATTGTAAAAGTTAAAAACAAATTACAAGAATCCAAAACAGAGTAGATCTGTATCCTCAGTTGGAGTGAAGACTTTTAGTGGAGCATTTAGACTTCATAGTATTATGGGGAGCTGCTCACTCGAAGGCAAATGTGATTTTTTGGAGACATTTAAATAATTGTTCTATTTACATCTATACAAACAAATCAGTGATGTTATTAAGGCAGAAAGAATCTTTTGTGCGACTTGAATGGATGTGTAAGGTAGCATTGTTCTCTCTGGATTCCCGATTTGTCCTTTCCGTCAATGAGTGTGATGGGAACATATTTGTAGAAGTCAATGATCTCTTTCACAGAATTAAATTTCTGGGGGGAAAAAAACAAACACTGTAATCAGTGACTGAAGCTAAAATTGCTATATGGTTTTATCAAAAACATTAAAAGACTTGCAAATGGTACTAGAAATAGGTAATATTTTGCATAGAATTCTGATTAGATTAGATGGAAGCAATCATAAAAGGAAAAGGACCACATTTTAATCCTCTTACTTCCTTTGTGTGTCTCTATCTTGTGTAGGAGAAAGCAGCTGGCTAAGATGTCTAAACCCTGAGAATGCAGTGTCACCTGTAAAAGTTCGCGGTGCCAGATGTCATGATAGATCTTGAAAAGATGAAGCAACTGTAAATTATTACTAACTTTGCCCTGTTGGAAGTTATGCTTAATTAGTAGTGAGTGGTACTTTTCACTGCAAGTTTCTTTGCACCTTCTTAAATGTACCTGTTATTTTCCCCTTCTGTTTACTGAGGAAGTTGCTATAAAATCATTTTAAAGTATGGAACAAGAGGGGTCTCAGTAGGCTTTTAGTCTTGTTCTCTGCTGGTCAAAACAATGACACCCCCCAAGCCTGTTCCTAAAATGATAACACTGTGGTTCGAGATTCCTGAACTGGTCAAGCAGCAACGGAAACCTATCCAAGGTATTTATCCTCACCTCTCCTGGTTGGAGTCTCTTAATCCTGCCATTCCCAGGGTTAGCAGTCCTTCACTTTAAATACTTCTCTTCCCTGTGTGTAACTTGGGAGCTGTCATATCGCTGAGGTGTCTCCTCTTGAGCTATTCGTTGGACTCATTGGTATTAAATCACTAGAACTGTACACAGTGATACAAGCCTACTGTGACATTAACACTTAACCCTCTATCTGTTACATCACATTTACTGTAAGCGTGGGCATTTGTTGTATATGTGATGGTATCTTATGGTAGTCTCTGTCATCTCCAGCTGATCCACACCCAGTTAATAACACAGAATCTATTTAAATCTGTGATTCGTTGAAACTGTTCCTTTATCAAGATGAAAATGATTTGATCTCAAAACCAGTGTGCTAATTTTTTAAAGTTTTTTTTTTTGATGATTTTTGCTTGCATACATTTGTTCCACTTGGCTGTTTTGTCTTTTGCCTTATGTTCAAGATCCCTATTGCTACTAGAAATCTAGGCAAGACTGTGGTTTGTATTTCATGCCCTGCCAAAATAATCCAAACTTTTTGTTTTATTCTAAACTTACTCTTTATCACCATGAGTTCTGTTTTCTAATGCTTTTTGTTGGTTGGAAAGGTAAAAAGTCTTATTGTAATTGTTCATCTGCTTTAGAAATTTAGTGTGGCTTTCCTTGCCTAAGTTATTCAGTACTGTACCCTATAGCTGTAGAATTTTGATAATGAGGGAAAATGTCTCAGGTGTTTTCCTATTTCATCCTGTACTCGAGTTAGAGTTAAAATATTAAGTTCTGAGTCTTTTCATGGCTGCTGAAAGATGAAGTTGACTTAGACATAGTGATGAGTGCTGATGGTCCAGAATGTTAGGTCCTTGACCCTTTTAATGGAAAACCACGCTTTGTTAGGCATAAAGACACCTAAAGTCCTAAAGATGAAGAGAATGCAGTACTGCAGAGTTGTTCATTTCCCATCACTGTCTGAAGAGACTCAAACTGATCTCTGCTGTCTTAGGAATGTCCTGTCTGCTGGTCTGCAGACTGGTCTGAGGAGACAGGAATAGGGTCGCAAGGAAAGGAAAGCCATGGTTATGAATTTTGGGTGAGTGGTGATAGGACTCTGGATTATGTCACACATCCTGAATGAGAACTCTGTCCTTCAAGCTGTCATTCAAGCTGCAGACAAATGTTTACCTTGTAAACATATTTCAGTTGGAAGTGTTAGCATCCCCTGACAAGTGTTGACTGTGCCTGTTTTCCTGGCATAACTTTTGACACAAAAGGTGGAAGGTGGTGTGGAAGTGCTCCCTCATCTACTCTAACCAGTCAGGCCAGTTTAATGGCTGATGAAGGTGATTTGAGCTGATCCATTTGACCCACTGTGAAATGAACTGAGTTGAGTTGATGTGACTTGTATGACTGGTGGCTTGAAAATGAAAAGTGGCTCCAAATATTGGTAGGGAGTGTTGAGGATGGTGAAAACATCGGTGGCCGCAACAGTGAGATGTGGAGATACACAGAAGCTTAGAGCATGACCCACTGTGTAAAACAGGCACTGAGCTGAAGAGGAATCTACTCCTGCCTTCGATTTTTTGTTTGTTTGTTTTTAGTTACTGCATTGTGAGTTGAGCCTGATGCTGCAGACTTGCTGAAAACATATTTTGTGTGTGGCAGATCTAATTTTCAAAGGCAGTCAGAAAAAAGACTTAAATTTTGTCAAGATCCGCTTCAAATGTGAGCAAGGTTTTGATTTCTTTATCTTCAAAAGAACTGTGTACATGAAAAGAGAAGCATTGCAGGTATCTCTGGGTCTTTAATATTGAAATCTGACTGCAGTGGTGGAAGGCAACAGCCAAGTAGAGGGTGCTCAGGACAGCAATTTTGAGTGTAAATACCTAAATTCCACGTATGTCCTGTTTGGGGATCTGGTCTTTATAGCTTTATGTGATTTGGCCTTTAGTGAGCTCAGTATAATACATGAAATATATATATGTAGTTATGAGCATCTGTGGCTAAATTGCTAGCAAAAGATATAACACTACTGTTTGCTTGTTTGGTTTTTTTTTCTCTGCTTGTATTAATTATATTCCAGGTTGATACTGATTTAGCTGTGTGGGGCTTCAGTTACTTGTCATAGATCACCATCACATTGACTGAGAAGTAACAATTTTTTAAAATAAACACAAATATGAGGATCAGTATTTCCCACCCCCTTCCCCTTGTGGCCTTAGAGGGCTATATGTGAGTTAATGATGCGCTCATGAAAGTTGAATTAAATACATTAAAAAAATACATTGTTAATCGAAAGTCTTTTTTTGATCATACAAAGTGTTAATACCTGCTAAACTGTATATGAAAAAATCAAGAGTTGCAATAGGATAATGAGAACTGAATAATGATGTGTAGGAAAAAAAAGTTCTTCATGGATGGAAGTAGCCTCATCCTAAAGTGAAAACACGCTGCAGAGAATCAGTAAGATTGAACCTTTGAATAAAATGAACAACTGGGGAGACATGTAATAGGTCTGCACCTGCTTGTTGTTTAGTTTGCTTTCTCTTTAGCTGGTGAAGAGGGAATATTCAGCTAATCTCGATAAAGCAGCTGGTGTGTCTGCATTGCGAGCTGCAAAATGTGGTGTAACAAAGAGGGATGATGGAGAGCGCTCTGGAAAGCATTTTAACAGGCGTTGGAAAATTACAGGCAGCAATTTTGCTGTAATTCCCAGCCTTACGAATTGTTTTCACCCTCCTGAGATGAGAACCTTAAGCGAGGTGCAGAAACTGAGACAACAGTTTTCAAGAAATGGCGTTTTCAGGGCATCCTTTCAGACTGCCTGAGATGGAAGTAGCTCTGCTGAGCAAGGTGGGTGCCTTTAATTGTTCATTATTTCACATGTGTTTCACACCCAGACCAGTGTTAATTATTACATCTACTGCTGAGAATAATGCATGGAAGTGGCAGGCTGTCATTTCTGTGACTCCCTGGTACTACACACAGCTGATTAGCAAAACACCTCTGAGGTTTTTCTGTTGTAGTTGATCTACGGGAGGATTTCCAAATTCACAAGAAACAATACTCAGTATTTAAAAAGAAGGCTTAAGGTAATATATCATGATTACAGGTTTGGCCTGGTAGAACCAAGTCTTAGATGTACCGTTGGTTATTAACTGGATGCTTGAAATCCTTATTCTGGAATTGTAACTTTACAGTTTGGCTGTCGTCAGCCCAGACCCACTGTTTAAGATACGGAGTTTCTGTGCACAAGTTGGAACAAACAAAAAAGCCATATAGTTTGGTATTTCCTGACTTGACATGAATTGTGTTCTCTTTCCTTTAGTTCCATAATAGTTGTTCGAATTGTTTACATATTGTTCAGGTAATTTTCTAGTTACTTTAATCATTAAATCTGCTAAAATGATGAAAATTTAGTGGTATGTCTTTATTCTGTAGTGTACCATGCACATGCTACATTATCCTGTAGAGGCCCATAATTAAGTTCCATCCCATATTTTCAGTCAGTCATTGTTTCTAATCTGAGCCTTTTTTTAATCAGGGCCATTACAGGAAGACTAAACAACATAACAGCCATGGAAAACTAAACTTACTTTCACCTAAATTATGCTAAAACTCCAGAAAGTTATCTGGGAGGTTCAGGTCAGAAATGCAGCCGATGTTTTACAGAAGACTGATGCCAGGGTAATGGTAGCTGCAGTACGGTTCTGGATTTGTTGTACCCTTCTTCTCCCACTGTTTCAATGTGTGTGAACATGGAAGTATATTTTCCCCCTCATTATTAAACCATTATTCCTGAAGAACAACTTGCCAACAAAACTTGCCCCTCACCTCAGAAAGCTAGTAAATCCTATCCTATGTTTTCTAATAAGAATCCAAATGTCAATCTTGGACCTGCCAAATTTTGGGTCAGTTTTGATTTCATTTTTTTTAAAAATTCTGTTTGTAGAACAGATAACTTTTAAAATGTCAGCATGTGTGAAAAAAGACATAATTGAAGGCTACAGAGGCTTTGCTGCTTCACTTCAGTTGGATTTCTGCCATTTACCTAGCTAATAACATTCAGATAGTTTATTGATTTGCTTTCTTACTGTGCAAAAGTCTTCCCTTTTGCTGAATTTCATGCTCAGCTGAACATTCTTTAAGTTTCTTTTTTTTTGGCAAGTATTACATCTTTATAGAGATGGCTGTTTCAGTTTTAAGTTTTTTGCCTTGTGTGAAAGACCTACAAATACAGTATTTGTTATTTATAGGTAGAATAAGAATTAGACTATTATAATTAATAAAATTGAATGTAATTATGTAAAAAAAAAAAAAAATTGCTAATCTAAAGGGATTTTCTAATGGAAATTTACCATGTCAGAAAGACTGATGGGTGGGGACCCATGTAATTTAATTGTGTCTGAATATCCATGACAATTTTTGTCATATTTTCTCATTTTTTAAAAGATATTGATTCCCCTTCTGCTATATGAGACAATTGGAGACATTAAGCAGTAATAATAGTAACAGGCCATACTGTCACATATGTGGAGTTGTACATATTTTGAATATATGCATAAATTATAACAAGCTGAAAATTATGCTAAAATAATATGTATGCTTAGAAAGGGGGGGGATTTTCTTTCCCTTTTACTTTGCAGGTGTTGCTTAGAGTAGGTAGAAGTATCATAATTGCTTAGGAAATTTTCACATTTATTTAAATCTGAATTTGAACATGGTATGTAAAATATGGTTTTAAATTATCTTGAAGTTTGACATCCTTTTACAATACTCTCATTAAGTAACTTTAATGAAACAGCAAGTTTTTTATGTGGGAGAATTTATAATTAGTCTTTAGTGTTAAGAACTAGTAAAGTGTGACATAAAAGCAGTAGACTATAACATTAGGTGGGATTTTTACTTACATCTTCTCCTCGGAGGCCTGTTCCCAGAGCGTATTGTTGACTCTCTTCCAAAAAACGTACTTTAATGTTGTATACTTTTCTTCCATAATAGACAACCAAAACATACGGTTCAGCATTTGATTTCTTTGAACAATCTCTAACCAAGAATGTCTCGTCCTGTGTGACACAGATTTAAAATATGGATTGTGTGGTTAGTTCATAAAAATATTTGTAAGCCATCATGGAGAGTTTACAGACACTCTCTGCTAAGAGTTTACACCCCAGGTTCTGAGATAAATTGTACTTACAATGTTTTCCTGTAAAAGTGCCTTCTCTGCTTCATAGCGATCATATTCTCCAATGTACCATTCGTGTTTGTTTAAATCCTTAATTTTAAGATAGCAAAATCAGTGTATGGAAATTAACCACAGCTGGCAGAAGCAAAAGCTAGTGAAAACAGAATATTTTTAATCTGTATTTAAAGGAAGTTTAACACAGTTTATAAAAATAATTGCAATGCGTCTGTATCAAAGTCCTGTTAGGAAATATGAATCAAATTAGACAAGTAAATTCTTATCCTGGGTTTCAAGAGTTTATCTTGCATTGTTTTCAGGGGGCTGGATGCCCACAGCTTTCAGACCATTTAACTCAGTTCTTAGGGGCTGTGTGTGCCTTGTAGCAATAATCCTGTTTTCTAAAAGCCTTCTGTACCTTTGGGAAGGGAAGTGTTCTTTACCTTTTCAGTGGGTTGGGTGAGAGATTGCATTTCCCGTTTTACAAGTGAATGTTTTGATTTGTCTTTGTGTGCTGTGTATGGTGTAGGAGATGGTGACCTCTTCACTGACGAGTTCTCCACATTTAACGTGGACCCTATAAAAGTGAATTCAGAAGGAAAAAAAGTTGTTTTTTTTTTAAATTTAAGATTAAATACTACTAAGGCCATATTTTTCTATAAGAAATTAGGTAGAAAGGTTGGTGAACAGCAGATACAATATCATATGACAGCAAAAAGCTAGGACAACTTTTAGTATTTGTTTGTAGAAGTATTATCTTCAAGGTTAGGGAGACAGTGTCCATATGAATAAAGTGGTACTGCTCCTGTGTGTTGCGTTCAGGCCTGAGAATCTTAAAGAAATCCAGGGAAATGGGCCGCAATTCCTGGGCAAGCTGAACCACGGGCCTTTTCTTGACAGGGCCAAGAAAATGGTAATGTTGACTTCAGTACATTCCCCTAGGTAAATCCACACAGTCCAGGAGACGTCCTGTTTCCAACCATAATTATTTGTCAGGCCTGCTTGATAATGGCACCTATAGGCCCTTCCCTCTAGGAATCTGGGATAAATCTAAAGCAATTTATTCAAAGACAGTGTAGTTATTAACACAAAGGCATTAAACCCACAGTAGCTGCTCTATAATGTCCTGAACATCTGTTACCATCTGTTACCTCTTACCTGAGGTGCAAAGGCTTTTAGAGCTCCACGTACATTGAAGGCTAGAAGAAAGCAATGAAGGAAAGTAACGTCAGAAAAAATATTGCTGTCAGTGGCAAGCATTGAAGTAAGAGTCAAATTTAGAGAGCAATGCATAGCTGTGCTCCCCCCGAATACCCCTTCCTCTGCTGATGGCAGATCAGGGCCTTCCTGGCTTTTGGATGGTAATTTTATATCTAGCATCTTTTGAAGGATTTCCCTTCCTTTAATTTCACCGTCCAGTTTTTGAAGTTTTGTAAGTTTTTACTCTCCACGAGTATTTGGGGAGTCGTTCACATTTGAACTGCATTTGTAGAGGAGCACAACTTGCTTTCGTTTGTTCTGAGCCTGTTTCCCTGCTAATTTCACCTGATGTTCCTAGTCCTTCTGTAGGAAGACCCAGGGAGCAGTTGTTCCCTGTCCTTTCTGATTTTTCTAGACTGCTGCTGAGTACCCAGATGGTGTTTTGTTGTGCTGTTAATTAGAATGGTTCCACTGGGAAGAGCACCATCCAAATAAGTTCAAGTGGGAGGATCTGGTACCACACAAGAAGAAACAAAATACTGGGGGTCACAAATAGTGTCACATTTACTCCAGGCAATGATTTTGTCTTGGAGAAATGGCATCATTGTAAACAGGGCTAGGTGAGAGATTCCGTATTTGTCTAGGAAACTTGTGAAATCATCCATATGCTTCCTATATTGTATCCTATACTTTTGGTTTTTATTGAGTATTTTAAGTGGATATAGATTTTAATGCACATTTAGAAAAGAAAGATTTGTGTAGGTTAGAAAAGAGAAATGGGAGCAACTGCGTCAGATTTCTGTGGAGGAATAATTGGCCTTTGAAAGGCCAAGTATGTATTCTCTGTATATAAAAATAGAAAATAAGAGGGAGAGGAAATGCTGAGGCTGGAGATGGGAGAGCCTCTTTACACAGTATGTTAACACCCTAATATGGAAAGTGAGACAAAAATGTAATACAGTAGTATGTTATTAAAGATAAAAATTGAATGTGGAATTACAATAGCTTGAAAGCAATTCCCAAAAATGGTTCTTGTTATGCATCAAGGCAAACATAATATATCACTACATAGCATCAGAAAATGATATCTTCTTGCTTTTATTGCACAGCAAAGTATAATTTTCTAGGGCAGAATTTTTAGTTCTTGAAGCATCCAGTAAAAAATTAATGAAATTCTTAGACTCCTACCTGGCTTCAGTATGATGCTTTGGTTTATACTGTTGTGCTTGAAAAGATATTTCAGGTTTCTTCCCCAAATCTGTAACTATCCATAAAAAGAATAAGAGCTTAGTGTTTTCTCTTATGCGTAGCTTTGACAATATCTAGCAACTACTGCAAAATAAATTCACTTAATTAAATTCATATATGGGGGGGGCAGTTCAATAGAGAAAGCTAATAGGCTGCAATCAGTCTGGCTTAAATGAGTCAGCTAATGATTTCAGTGGGATTTCATTTATACTAGTACTGAATGCTACGTGGTGAACATTACAGGTTTTGCTGATGCCAAATAATGGCTTAACATAATGGTAAATAAAGCAGAACGCTGTACTGGAAGTATATAGAGGGTTCATAAATCCTTTTTATAGGACAGGATAGATAGGCATTGAGTGTATTAATGCAATCAATACTATTTCTGGCTCAATATCAGGAAATTGTGCCTTAATCTGCAAAAGGAAATGCCAGAGGAAATTATGAACACATTAACACAGGGGTGTAAACAGCACAAAAATCATGTAGCCTCTGTCTGTCTTCGAAGTATTTCAGAGTAGCAGGTTGGTTTTGTTTTCGTTTTTTTTTTTTTTCATGGACCTTCATGCACACAGACACAACAAGTGGCTTGAGCTAGTTTTTCCAAGCTGTATATACATCTAAAGAACTGATATATTTTTAAAAACAAACCACCACCAAAATCATGTTTTTTTTTTTTTTTTAAATCTTGCTTTTTGTAGCTTTAAAAACCTAAAGCTTTTAAAAATATTTCTTTCAAATGGAGATACTCTCTGTATAGATCCAGTCTTTTGGGGATATTCTTCTCACATTTTTTTAGGTTCCAACACTCTTATTTTCCCCAGGACCTTAAGACTTTGATTTGTTTACAATAAATGTGATACCCTGCTTCCCCAAGTAGCTGTAGTTAATGCCAAGTTAAATTCCTTTTTTCTGCTACATCTTCCACAACTGTTGAGGTCACTCAAAATCTCTCTGTTCTCAGCAGACTTATACCTGGGGATGTCTCTTACTCATCTAAATACAGAGCCAGACAGCCTGATGTAGGATAGATGTTGGGTTCCTGTACTGATCAATTCAGCTGGACTTTTAATGGTAGAATACTTTGTTGTTGGAACATGAAGGAAAGACAGCAAATTAATATGGTATTATTAAATACTAACCTTGTTCTCTTCCAGGTGCCTATATAAAATAATAAGATAGAGAGTAAATATTTTTCTTTTGATTAGGAACTTCAACTTACCCCAACAGACCAAACTATCTTTTTATTTTAAAACAATTTATAGACATTAAATCATTAATACCTGATCCCTTTGTCAAAAGCTCAGGCTTAACGTTTATCTGAGTCCGCTGGAAACAATGAGAGCTGAATTTTTAGGCTTTTTAAGTGAACATACAGCTTATGGCAATGATCATCATTTTGTGATGACTACTGTGCATCACTTTAGCTTTCAATATGGTTTTCCTTCATTGATCTTGTATTAAATCAAGAGATTGATTTTGATTGACTGGAGATACACTATCCAAAGATTAAAATCAGCCATTTCTTTTCAGGCTCCTTAACTGACAGTACAATTATTTTTACTGTCATGGCAAACACTTCATTCAAAATGACTTTGGGGAGAGTCTAAATTCAGCATATTATGTTACAAAGATGTGAATGATAGACAGGTGTCAAAAGACTGGAATTTTACTCATAAACTTTCACTGTATTTTTGTATTATTGTGATTCACATGGGAATAGTAATTATTCTGTTTGTTAATTTGATACACACAAGACTATAATACAGAAATACTAAAGAGCAAAAAAAAAAATTCTCTTTGTAGATGTTGCACTTTGGGTCTTCCTTAAAATGTTTTCCTGTTGCTTAGAAATTCATATTCTCGTTCGGGTCAGAAGGGACCTGGGTAGGTCTCTAGTCCAAGCTTCTTCATAAAGCACGGTGAACTGTGAGATGAGACCTGGGCTCAGAGCTTTGTCCTGATGAGTCTTACGAACCTCCAGAATACAGATTTCACAGATTCTCTGGGCAGCCTGTTCCAACATCCTCATAATTATTTTTTCTTCCTTATTTCTGGTTGAAAAGAGTCTAATTTCAAGATAGTTGCTTCTTATAATTCCACTGTGCACTCTGTAAAGTGCCAGGCTCTGCCTTCTTTATACTTGCCTCTTAGGCAGTGGCAGGCTGCTCTTGGGTTCCAGGTTAAGGGAGCCCAGCTCCATCAGCATCATTTCACAGAGCAGGTGCTCATGCCCTGGTGACCTTCTGCTGACCCACTCTATCAACAGCAGCCTTGTGTGGTACCCCAGGTGGTGTTTAATGAGTGATGAGCGGAAGAGAATAGGTCCCTCCCTTCATCTCTTGGCTATGCTTCTCTTGGTGCAGCTCGATATGCTGTTAGCCTTTGTGGCCAACAAGGGCACACCAGTGGCCTGTGCTCAGTGTGGTCCCCAGGTCCTTTTGAGCAAAGTTGCTGCCACGGGGGTTACTCCACCCCAGGGCAGGATTTTGCATTTGTCCATTCCAGTTTCAGGAGGCTCCCCTTGACCCTTTCCTACAGCCTGTCTGGGTCCTGGCGAAGGGCAGTCCTGCTCTCAGACCTATGGACAACCCACCTGGTGCTTGAAACCCTGACAAAGGCACCCTCAGTCTCCTCCTCTGGGTCATGATGAACCTATTTATGTCTTCAGATCTCTATGAATGGGAAGTGATCCAAATTAAACTTTATCTTTTCCATGTTATGAGACATACAGTATCTCTCCTTAAGATGCAGCCAAGGTAAGGGCCTGTTAGGAGCTGCAGTGTTTGTGCAGCTGTACAGTGCCCAGCCAGAAATATTAATTGCAGATGTAAGATATTTATTGTTCTTGAGGGTATTTTCATATTTGGTTTGTAATGAGTCAGTATATAGGACAAGACAAAGCTTTTTGTGTTATATATTGGCAAGAAAGATAACATTCTAATTTTTTTAGCTTTAAATGTTAATTATGGTATTGCGATCAAACCATGTTTTGTAATGATCTCTCAGACCAGAAGAGTTTTTAGGCACAGGAGGAGTGAGGTTTGGGAGAGTCTCCCAGTCGTAACTGTGGAGAAGAAAAAACTCAAAGGTTTTGGAAGTCAGAGCTAGACCAGTCTATAGATTTGTGCTACAGCCCGCTGTGGTAGGAAATGGCGGGGCTAAACGAGCATAGAGGTTCCTTTTCTTTCCTCTCTTCCCTTGCAATGAGAAATAAAAACAATGCAATAGAAACAGTGCATTAAATGGGACATTCAGTAAGAAACACAAAATGCCATAAATTATAACCTCTCTGGTTTTACAAACATCTTTTAATACTCTTCATTATTGTAGGGACTGTATCTCAATACATCTTAAAGGAAACCACTTGTCAAAGCTTAAACCCCTTTATTGCCAAACCCATTTCCTCTGCTTTGCTTCATTGGCTCAAGCAAAAAGTGAAGGAACTTGTTAAAAACTTTTTTACAGAAACTGGAACAAGTTAAAAATTGCTTGTCTTTACCAGTCTCTGTGTAAAAGTTACTGCTTTCTGCTTTATATGTGCCTAGAGGTGCTTTTCCAGCATTGCCTCTCTCAGGGGTTGCAGGTAGCAGGGCTGGGAGGAGAGGTGGTCACCTTGGAGGTGCGGGGAGGGAGGTGTGAGGAAGGTGGGTCATGAGCTGGAGGATGAGGCTGGTGGGAGAGGAACTGAGTGGGACGTACTGGGGCTCATAGTGCTGCCCACAGCTCCAGAGGTTTGAGGACATAGCGGAGTGTGAGCTTGGGCAGGTGGGCTGTGCTGGGCTCAGAGGACAGCGAGGACCTTATCTATGTTTACAAGTTCCTAAAGGGTGGGTTGAAGGATGATGGAGCTGGACTCTTTTCAGTGGTTTCTAGAGATAGGATGAGGGGCAACGGGCACAAGCTGGAACATGGGAAGTTCCACTCAAATATGAGGAAGAACTTCTTTACAGTGAGGGTGCCAGAGCCCTGGAACAGGCTGCCCAGGGAGGTCGTGGAGTCCCCTTCTCTGGAGATCTTCAAGACCTGCCTGGATGCAGTCCTGAGTAATGTGCTCTGGGCAATCCTGCTTTGGCAGGGGAGTTGGACCAGATGATCTCTAGAGGTCCCTTCCAGCTCTGACAATTCCATGATTCCATGACCGTGCATCGCTGTGGTCCCCAGCTTGCTGGGGAGGGCATCAGGGGGTTTGGCTGGGGGAAACCATGGGACCACAGAGGTGCCTGAGGAGCAGTGTGGTGGCCCCCAGGGTTGCTGCCAGAGCTATTTTAACAGGCAAAGCTTCCATTTGTCTGAGGTGACAGGTTTTGCAGGATGTGTGAGAGGCCCTAGGGAAGGAAAAGGGAAGGAAAGGAAGAAGGGAGGTGTGTGTGTAATAAGTGAGGTTTATTCTGAGTATAAAATTCATCATTTTTTTTTTCTCTAACTGAAAAGGATTATCTTATTAGCGTGGTAGCCTTTTATTTACGTCACAGTAACACTACTCCACTCCTCTATAGACCTTACAATTTCAGTTTTCTGCTTTTAAAAATCTATGTGGAATCTCTGTTTCTCTGAAAGAGAGTGTCTCCCTTGCTGCTCACCCATCATAGGCATCCACAGCATCTCTTATGTGGGTGCTCACGCTTTTATGTGGGTACTTGGGAGGTAGCTTTGCACTGTGTGTGTGTGTGTTTTAATTTCTGCAAGCGACTTCAGGAACTTGCCTGCCATTCAGAGAGTAGCAGTATTGAAAATGCTACACACATTGAAGATAGATACGCTTATTACCAAAAGTTAATATGATTCTTGTAGTATTTTTACCTAATAAGCTAAAATACAAAAGATGCGTAACTATAGAATGTATGTGGTTCTTATGGTCCTAATATATACAAAGATGATTACTTACTTCGTTTAGTTCCTTAACGGATAGATGTCTGAAAAAGAAAGAATTAGATGCAAAACTCTTGATTGTCATAAAATAAAAATCCCTTTGAGTACTTAAATACTTTGATTACATTATCACTGAAAATTAACAGCCCTTGGCAAGGGAAGGATTTTATTACAGCTATAGAAATTCAGAGACTGGTTATTTTTTTACATAAATTATTTGAAGGAGAAGGTTATGGACTTTCATAAAAAAGAATAACATCCACTGAATTCATTATAGTAAATGAGAAAAGTTTTTGTTAAGGATTTATTCTGGGAGGAGGGGAGAAGAGATATGAATGATTATCAGCTTTCTTCCACACTTTTCCTCTCATGCTAAAAAGTCGTCTTATGAACTTTAAAGTTGGCTATAAGTGGAGGTAAGTTCCTTGAAGACTGAAGAGTTTAAGAAATGAAACATTCACAAAGGCAGAATGGAAAGTGTAGAGAAAAGAAGATGCAGACCAGGAAAAGAGGAATGGAGGCTCCTCCTCGTGGTCCTGATTCAACTAGGAGTTTAGACATTTTTGTGCCTTCTCCTGGTATGCCTGATCTCCTTTCTGGAGGTTAGTCAGAAAATATTCTCCCCCAAAAAGGGACAACGTATTGAGTCTGACATCTTTTATTAATCGACGCTTGTGCTTTTCAGTAGCATATATATCTTATAATGAAAGAGAGGACCAGATTTTAGAAGTTATCTAGTAACATAAGGCGTGGATAAGCGTCTAGTAGTTTTTTGAGGGCTCCAGGATTTAGTCCCTGCTTAGCTTACCTCCTGGATTAAGAAAACATGAATTTACTTTGCTAAATCAGTTACAGAGAGTGCAAAAGGAAAGCATGGTATAGAAAACCCTAGGAGCTATTTTTCAACACTCGTTCAGTGATCAGGGGTCTCTTCCTTGTGGCTGTGCTGGAAACATCAGCACGGAGGGTTAAAGAGGCAAGAAATTTGGGAATGATCTGTTGGGGGAAGTTTCAGGAAGGCTAGGAGGAAGGAGAGGAACTGTTTTGGGTTGGGATAGTTGCTTTTGTGCTAGCTTCTGCAAGTTGTTAGCAAGGTCATTATTTGATGTGTGAAAGCCTGTATTCAGGACATCAGGTGCATGGTAAAGTTAAGGGGTAGTAAAGCTGTGCTTGCAGGGCTGGCCTCAGCCATGAGGGGACATGCCACCCATATGACGTGCTTACCACCAGCATATAAAAATTTAAATCTCACGAAAGCTCCTAAGATACATTCCAGGATCCTACATATGCCTGTAATTTTTATGAGGCTATTTATAAGAGTGTATAAATAATGATGTGTTTAATTTCATAAGTCTTCCAAGTCTTGTCAGAAAACAGGACTTGCACTGCTAAATCACGTCTGTGGTTTGACAGCTTTGCTTACAGTCTAGCAGATACCGGCTGGAGCGCCGTACTCCTCCACGCTGCAGCTCATACGTATGTTTTCTCCTTACAAAGATGTGACTGGACTGAAGATGTGTGAGAAATACTTTGAGTTTAGTGCTTGTGTGGGAAATTTGTGAAGCGCCTTCCCCAGATCACGTGTGGTCTTTATCTCTTGCTCGTGTGATTAAAAAAAAGATAAAAATCTAGTACAATTGAAAAAACCCAAACCTATTAGAAATATTTTGGTATCTATAACGGCAGTGTGGAGTTTGGTGGTTATGATTTTTGCTGCTGCTTTTTAATTCTAGCATTGGAAATGACATGCATTTATATTGCAGATTTTGGTTTTATAATAGGACCTTTCAAGTCCAGGCGCTTTGCATGCTGATGTCTGCTGGCAAACACGGCTTGTAACAGTTCTCACAGAGCTTTCAATGTCCGTGCTGCCCTACGGAAGGAGGGATCAGTCATGGGATTTGGAACTTTGCAGCTGTAGGTCAGGTCAGGCACCTGAATAGGAAGCTACTTCATATTAATAAAGGTCTTATAACCAACAGCTTTTGGAACCTAATCCATGAAAGAATTTAAGCATCATTCAGGAAAAAAAAACCACACCATACTTAAAGCTTGCTCCTTAATATACTTAACTTTAAGCAGAAGATTAATTCATTGATTTGTTAGGGTTTTTATTTTCCCCATGGGATTTCTAGTGACCTCTGTAAAATAGAGCAAAATTCCATCCTGATGGACTGAAATTGAAACTATTTATGGAAGAACAGACAGGAATGGCACAGCTCGGTTTTGCCAAAATTTTTGGCTGCAATGGGTTTTTGCTGAGAGACATTTGAGCATTGTACCCTGTGGCCCCTGGATGGCTGTTATTTCTCTTCCCAGCATGTGCCCACCACCATCGTGGCTTACGAATGTGCATTTTGGTCACACAGCAAGAGCATATATGTGTCTTGTTACATGGCAAGGAGCAGCATGTGTATGTGCTCATGTGAATAGATACGTGTGATCAATGCTTATAAATACTTAAAGGGTGGGTGTCAAGAGGATGGGGCCAGTCTTTTTTCAGTGGTGCCCAGGGATAGGACAAGAGGAAATGGGCACAAACTTGAACATAAGAAGTTTCATCTAAACTTGAGGAGGAACTTCTTCACTTTGAGGGTGGCAGAGCACTGGAACAGGCTGCCCAGAGAGGTGGTGGAGTCTCCGTCTCTGGAGACATTCAAAACCCACCTGGACACGTTCCTGTGCAACCTGCTCTAGGTAGACCTGCTCTGGTGGGGGGGTTGGACTAGATGATCTCCAGAGGTCCCTTCCAACCCCATGGGATTCTGTGTGTTATGTGAAAAAAGCAGCCAGTCTCATAACCTGACATAAGCATATGCTCGGTCACTTGGACACAAGTGCTTTGTGCTTCAGGACTCACTGCTCATCCACGCTGCCCTGTCACAGCCCTGAATGAACACGGGCAGTGTATGTTGGAGGAGGGCAAGAAGCAACTCATAGTCTGGATTCATTGGTCTTGTTGGCTGGAGCAAGACTTCTGGCTACAATTTGGTCATTTCTGTTGCTGAATGTAATGTCCTTGGGATGTGGAGTGTGTTTCTGTATCTCTGGTGTGGTCAGTGTATTTCCCCATCGCTTCATTCACCAGCTGTGCTATTGTTTCTACTTAGAAGATGTTGCAAAAACTCTAAATGTTAGTAAGAAAAGAGCAGGACAAACTCTAAATGAAGTGTTCGCGAAAGTTCCACCTACTTTTCTACTCCTTTACATCTTTACCATTATTTTAGCAGCTTTTTCTTTAAAAAAATGCTAGTGTCACATTACGCTAAATACCACTTCTCTCAATTGTTCACAGCTGTCTAAAGAATAACTTTTTTTTTTCTTAAGTAAAAGCAGAGGTGTGGTGGACGTAAAATCTCGTGGTTTGACTGGGGGGAGAGTGTTTTGATTCTCAGGGAAGGAGGATGAGGAATGCACCCGTACCTTGTGATTTTTGCTGATATTGGAAAGGTATGAGTTTGGCTGAGCGTTTTCCTCGTGTGGAAGAACTGGCTGCTTGTCTTCGGCTCTGGAGGAAGTGGCTGATACTGCTTTGGCAGTGTCTTCAGAGGCCTAGAGAAGTCAAAGGAGAATTTAATATAACTGTTTAGGGAATAAAGGAGGTGCAGAGACTGTGTTGTAAGTGCAAGCTTAAGAAGTAAACCACTAGAATTTTCCAAGAGCATTTCAGTATTTGTGCTGAGCTTAGCTCAGGTCCAGGAGATTCTTGGGGCCCTTCACTAGCAACAGTAATTTTTGGATAGTATTCTACATTTTCAAGACATTACTGTACTGTTACGTGCTACTTAACACTGCTTCCGTGGGCTTTGCTTTATGTGCCGAGTCCAGCTCCCCAGTGTTGATCTTTGTGGGTGGATATGGCTGTGCATCAGGCCCAGCTGGGGAACATGCTGCAGTTCAGACACACAGGAAAAAATGCTCTTCCTCACGGAAAACTCACAGCTAACACCAGCCTGGGGCTTTCTGGCAGATGTTGGCAGGCTCTGCCTGTACTCTGAGACCTGCTAGTCATAGCCCAGCTCCAACTGGGATAATTAAGAACCACTCTGGTCACCATCATGCAGGTAGAAACAAATAGTGAAATACTGTGGAATAATGAAATCAGAATGTTCTTATTTCTGCGCTTTTACAGTTTTGAATTTGTGAAGCTATGCTGTCCTTTTATGGTCTTATTTTGCATTTTAACTTAAAGAATAATCTGAATATGTCTGTAATGTGAAACTTGTTTACAGCTCTTATGGCAGTCAGTATAGGCATTGAGGAATAAACTTGTCAGTCCTGGATGACTTTTTAGAAGTATGTCTTAATTGTAGCAGTTATTGTTTGGGGCTGAAAAGATCAAGAAACAATTATTTGTTTGTGGGCATACAGTAGGAAAATAGATTCATGGAATAGAACTTAGTCTGTGTTCTATGGGAGTAAGTGGCAATATTCTGGTTGATTTCTATGGACATTATTTTAACTTGTAGCAAAAAATTGGCAGAAAGATTTAAGAGGCAATGAAGTCAATATCATCATGGTGAACAGAGCTGAAGGCACCAATACAAATAGATTGAAGATTTTTTTTTCCCAACAATTTATATCTGGGTTGAACCACATTCAAAGTTTCTAGGCTTTTGACTTGGTGGTAGGCTCAGCCGAGTTGATTTTATAGATGCAGGCCAAGCTCCAGCTATCAACACTAATGGCTCATGTTTTGTTCTCCTCATTTCACTTCAGAGGCTAAAAAAGTCCAAAAAGAGCCAGGTAATAAAAGGATGCTGGCTCACTTCCAGACATCTCATTACCATGAGTGTTACAGATGGAGGTGAGCGCTCATTAGCACTGAGTTCCCTGAGGAACCACAGGTGAGCGATCTCTTAAGTGATCTTACCGTGGGGGAGGTACAGGGCTCTGGAAAAGAGAGGAAACAAAAACCTGTGTAAACTTCTTTCCTTGTTTTACTAAGAGAAATGTAAAAAGTTTAGATTAAACAGACCTGCCTGTGTCAACAGTTAAAGGGTTTATGTACTTTACAAAACATAATGTCGTACTTTAATATGCCATTTTAAAGTCACTGAGGGGTAAGAGACTTAAACCACCAATGCGAAAAAGTGAGATAATGAAAGACTACAGATATGAGTTCTCTTATCCTTAGTTAGTGCTAGCAAAATGGCAGTGAGCTTTTAAAAATATATTCAATGGCAAATGACCTGTAGAAATTTTAATTGATAAAAGATTCTGCTCACCTGGGATCCATGTATTTTCACTCTTTCTCCTAAAGATAATTATTAATAATTGTTAATAGAGTGCTTTCCATGTAATTTACAAATCAAGGTACAGCTTTATTCTGGTATTGTTATTCTTATTGGCAGTCCAGCCCTATTCTTCCCCTTCCCCAGCTCTGCCTCCAGAACTCTTTGCTCCAAGATAACATTGCTCTCTCCATAGCTAATGTCCTACCTAACGCATCTGTGTCTCCATAACTTTTCCTGCTATTGAATGGGAAGCATTAATTTCTGTGCAGCTGGGGCTGGAAGCTTCAGAGGTTCAGTGGGAGGTGGTTGTGTGTGGGAATGAGGGAGGTCGCTGGACGACACTGAGTGTGTGTCATCTCCATTAGCTGTTATGGACGTGAGGCCAACGGGCTATGAATGAGGATTTTGTTCATTCTGTACTTTATTTAACCTTTTTTAAGGGTGGACTTGTGGATGGGTTGAGATGCAATTTGTAACTCCTTTTCAACCATTTGTGCTTCTCTCTACGTAAGTTCTCTCACACTAAGTGTACTTAGCCAATTATGCTGATCATAGAGGGGTTGAGAGTCTTCTTGCGCTGTAGTCAAGTATATCTTTTTATTACCACTCACAAACAGACATTTTATAAGAGGCATAACTAGGAATTAGTTAAAGTAAAAGCAGGAGAAAACAAGTATTTTTGGTTATTTTTTTTTAAACTTAAAATATAAAATAAAGGAAATAAAAAATCATTATGATACTTGATAAAACACAGTGAACTTTGGTGTTACCTCTGGCTTTCAGGATGAAACGCTTGAGGGTGATATTTATTCAGGTATTGTACATTTAAATATCCTTCAGTGTTTTTATATACATGGTTGTCAAGTTGTTTAGGATGCAGTTTTTTGTCTGTTTTGATTTTTGTATAGGAATTTTAAAAAGTCTTGAAAAATCAATGAAAGTAAACATGTTTTTTTTTGTTTTCAAATTTACCAAAATACGACAGATTTAGATGAACATAGGTCACCTTACTAATAAAGAAACGTATTTTACTCTCTTTGCATTAGATTTTGAAAATATTTTCATAAGTTCTACATACTGAAGTCCTAACTAATGCAAAAAGACATACAATGTATCTTAAGTTCTTCTTCAAGTAAACCATAACAAATTTATCTGAATAAAATAATGGCACCTTAAATGTTTAGCAATTCTAGAAAAGAACTGTTGACAAAAATTCTTCTGTGCTGTTCATGCCATCTTGTGGCAAAGCCATTTAATAGCACTGGGTATGTTAACATTTAATAACAGTGGAGTTATTATCTAAAAATAATGGATTATTCTGTAAGCACTATTAGCTCTAGATGTACTGAAATACAAGTTGCATTCTCAAACAGCAGAGTTTACCTGCTTGCACTGTCTTTGGTTCATCTTTCTTAACGTCAGCACACATCTTATGGAGGCAGACAAACATCTAAGTCCAACCTACTAAATCCTGGTGGAATTTAGAGCTTTATCTAAACTGGCAAACTGTCAGTGGGACCTTTGCTACAAATTTCTCCAGGTTTTGAAGCTGGTTTACTAGAATTTCTCCCAGTTCAGCTTTTTTACAAGCTACACCAGGATTTTTTTTAGAAGAGTCAGTTGAACCTTTCATTTTGCAAACTTTATAGCGCTTACTTTCTTTTAATTTGTAGGAATTATTGGGCTTTATGTTTTGTATTATGGTATGAACTAAAAGGAAAAAAAAAATAAACATTCCATTTTGCATGGAATTTTTTCTGTTATTTTTCTGGTTGATCAAATCTTTCTGCAAATCAGCTGTTCCAGCAAACATAAAGAGTCATGTTTCCCTGACTTGACAAATTGTGTTCTTTTTGACAATATTTAGCATGTAGGTTTGGAAATAAGAGAAAAAGTATAATTCTCTTTCAAGGATAATCAGCAGTTGACTTAATGAGATATTGCTACATCTACAGTATATGAAATATAACAAACTATATGGAAAAGTATATAGAAACCTGCTTTTAAAATAATCTTATGATTGAGTGAAATGATCAATTAGACACCTCATTAGATTCTTGATGAATAAGATAGCAGTCTGTCTCCAATTTCACCACAAAAACCAAAACAGAAAAAACAAAAATTAAAGATACATTTGTAACTAAATATTGTAGCATTTTGAAGCTAATTTACAGTTAATGGTAAAGCAGCAGAGGAAAAAAAAATGTTAGGTTATACACCGTATAATTAGCATATTCTTAGTGGGAGAACATTGTCAAAAAGCTTTTGTAAATAGTTGCCCTAGGATGTAAGTCCTTAGTAGGAATTGCTAAAGTTGATAATAAATATTTTTAAATATTAATAGATTACACTTTACAATATATTCATACAGAATTCCAGAGAAAGACAAGGAGCCAAAAGCTATAGATCATAAGAAGTAGTAAAGCATAGCAGGAATCTTGTAGCCTTTGGTGGAACAGTTCAGGAGACACAGGTTTCCCCCAGACCCTTCTCTTATGTCCTTATAATTGTAGGGAAAAAGAAAACTTGATTTTTAAATTGAGTGGCTTTTTTCCCTCTTAAGGAACGGGGATGCTCATGAGATACACTTTATCTCCTTTTATTTCATTATTTATTTATTTATTTTTATTAATTATTTTGATGTTAAGCAATTGAAACATTTTTGCAAATTTTGTAGTATGATTATTTTGAGAAGTGGCTGCTATATAATTAGCATATTCTTAGTGGGAGAACATTGTCAAAAAGCTTTTGTAAATAGTTGCCCTAGGATGTAAGTCCTTAGTAGGAATTGCTAAAGTTGATAATAAATATTTTTAAATATTAATAGATTACACTTTACAATATATTCATACAGAATTCCAGAGAAAGACAGGGAGCCAAAAGCTATAGATCATAAGAAGTAGTAAAGCATAGCAGGACAGAGAAAGACAGGGAGCCAAAAGCTATAGATCATAAGAAGTAAAGCATAGCAGGGATCTTGTAGCCTTTGGTGGAACAGTTCAGGAGACACAGGTTTCCCCCAGACCCTTCTCTTATGTCCTTATAATTGTAGGGAAAAAGAAAACTTGATTTTTAAATTGAGTGGCTTTTTTCCCTCTTAAGGAACGGGGATGCTCATGAGATACACTTTATCTCCTTTTATTTCATTATTTATTTATTTATTTTTATTAATTATTTTGATGTTAAGCAATTGAAACATTTTTGCAAATTTTGTAGTATGATTATTTTGAGAAGTGGCTGCTGTTCTGAAGACCATGTCTATTCTATCACCTGCAATCTCTGTTTACGTACAAAAGCAGAGTTTGAAACACTATTTCCGGTTGCAGAAATGGGTAGATTTATTTTGTTAATCGTACCTCTAACACTTGGCACGCTTCTCCCCTCTAGAGCAGATGTGTGTTTCTGTTAAAAAAAAAAAAAGAAAAAACAAAATAAAGATGTGGTGTTAGTCATCATCCCTGAAACCATGGCTAAGTAGAAAGGGTGCTGCTCTTGACTGGGATGCCTCTAATGCGTGGCAGGTCCCCGGTAGACAATAAGTGAAAGCAAGTGGGGAGAACATTGGTGCCAAGTGAAACAGGAATGGCTCACATCAACTTGTGCGACCTTGAACAATCGAAAGTGAGGTGACTGTCCTTATAATTGTAGGGAAAAAAGAAAACTTGATTTTTAAATTGAGTGGCTTTTTTCCCTTCTGGCTTAAGGAACGGGGAGCTCATGAGATAAAGTGTATCTTCTTTTATTTCATTATTTATTTATTTATTTTTATTAATTATTTTGATGTTAAGCAATTGAAACAGTATTGCGAATTTTGTAGTATGGTTATTTTGAGAAGTGGCTGCTCTTCTGAAGACCATGTCTAGTCTATCACCTGCAATCTCTGTTTACGTACAAAAGCAGAGTTTGAAACACTATTTCCGGTTGCAGAAATGGGTAGATTTATTTTGTTAATTGTACCTCTAACACTTGGCACGCTTCTCCCCTCTAGAGCAGATGTGTGTTTCTGTTAAAAAGAAAAAGAAAAAACAAAATAAAGATATGGTGTTAGTCATCATCCCTTAAACCATGGCTGTGTTTCTGTTAAAAAAAAAAAAAGAAAAAACAAAATAAAGATGTGGTGTTAGTCATCATCCCTGAAACCATGGCTAAGTAGAAAGGGTGCTGCTCTTGACTGGGATGCCTCTAATGCATGGCAGGTCCCCGGTAGACAATAAGTGAAAGCAAGTGGGGAGAACATTGGTGCAAAGTGAAACAGGAATGGCTCACATCAACTTGTGCGACCTTGAACAATCGAAAGTGAGGTGACTGAGACTTCGAATAGGCTGCACTTAACTTTAATAGAGTTACGGAAAAGGGGAAATCTGTTTGTCACTAGGGTTTGAGATGGTTACTTACAGCCGAGTACTGAGGGGACTGAGATGTGTGCTGCTTGGTCGTTGGGGAAGTGGTACCTGAAGGCCTTAACCAACGTTTATCTGTAAAAGAGGAAGAAAAGGCAAGCCTGAGTAATTCAGCAATACTATGTTTTAAGAAGAAGAGGTTTTAATGTTCAAAATATGTTTTTCAGATCTGGCCAATTTTATAGCATTTTAATTTTTTCCTTTTCAGAACTTCCCCATTATTTCAGTAGCTGTATGGAGGACATAAGCATGACCCTGGTGATAGCTTTATGGTTAACCTCCTCACTGGGGTTAAAAAAAAGCCCAACCAAAACCTTCATAAACTGATACACAGTTAAGGCAGACATTTGGCCTAAACTGTGAATATATTAGTGAATTTGTTTTCATTTGAACCTTTGTTCTTGGCAACACCGTTGTGGTGTCCTTGTTTTGTGAGGGGTGTGAGGTGATTTACTCTCTAGAGAGCTTTTTAATTTTTGTTTTAGCTTTTAATGAATACTGCACCTATGGCCATCTAAAAGAAACACACAGGTTATACGCTAGCGCATGTTTTGGAGTCATTCATTTTATATCTTAAGGGCACTGTTATTTGTCTAGGAAAGATGGCAAAATTAGGATGTTAGTGTTGAATTTTGCCCTCTGAAATACATTTTCAGACCTTTCCTCACTCTTGTATCCTGCCATGTTATAGTTACTGGACATAACACAAAGGCAATAAGCAGTTTTTTGTTTAATGTGTTTTCTCTGAAATGACAAAACAAAAATAGTGTCTTTTTGGTATTTCAGGATGATCTTACTAATCAACACCAACATGCTGACTGCTGACTGAAAGTCTTTACTACTAACCATGATAAAATTATTTCAGATTTCCAAATTTAATATTAATATGGGTCTTTGGAACATAATGTAGAATATCTGGATGTTCAGACTAGTTGTGATCTGCTCACACAGTGATAAATTTACTCAAATTAAAAGCCATCTATTTGTTTAGACAACAAACTAACTTCCACTAAAATCAGTAGACAAATCTCTGCTGAGTTTGATTTGAACTGGAGCAAGCTTTCATACATGTATTGATCCTGTATTTTCAGATATTTTTGGTTTCTGGTTTCCATTCTTCCTCATCTAGAATTTGCCCCTGGTCTTTTAATGATTTAAAACCTCCACAGAGTGTTTTTAATGGCTTCCAGCAATGGATAGCCAGGATGATATTTCACTTCTGTAAACAGGATATTAATTGGCTATGTATGTTTGGGCATTAAATGTGACTTAGAATGGCCTTAGTAAATCCAGACTTGATTAATGCAGCTATCTTGCAAGGTTAAGAATGCCCAAGAAATACACTCAAAGTAATTGCTTATTATGGCTATTGAAAGTGGCAGAGAATGCCTTTAAAAAGAATACTATGTTTCTTCATCTCCACATTATCATCGGGTGGATGGTTTCATGTATTCTTTAATTTGTTTTCCATCTTAAAGGTTTCTAGGCTTAAATATCAGTGGGCTTTTCTAAAACAGTTGTGGGTTTGACCAGTCAGATTTTTGCCATTCCAGGTGGGATGGGGATCATAGAATTTCTCCCATGAAGGCAATACTAAAATTAAAAAAGCAGCATGTAATTATTAATTTAACATAATTGAATGATAAAAAGGATAATTGTTCAACATGAAGATGCAGACAAAGCTCTTATCTTATTCCTGCCTACGAGTGTTTTATTTTTCAGTTGAATCATTTCATTTTAAAGAATATCTGGATTGAAAATCCCGAGTCTGTACCTCTAGGTTTGGCACATCTTCCACAGACAACAAAATTTACCTGCGTATTCGGATTCTTGTATAGGTTTGGCAGGAAGGATTCTCAAAGCATGGATGGCCTCCAGAGTGGAAGAATTTACAATGTCATAATCATCTTCTTCCTCCTCGGGTACTTTGGAGGAAGATTGTAAGTCACTCTTGCCCTTCATTGTCAAATCTTTGTTCTGGACAGAAGAAGAGATACATAGATAATACAAATAAATTGAAGTTCAAGATTAATTTCATATTTGGAAATACTTGATTACCAGAACCAGACTATTTGGTGCATGGGAAATTTCATGATGGAAACTGAAGGGTTGGAAAGGAGTTGAGCAAAGCTTTCGAGGATCTAAATTTTTGATTTAGATTCATAAAATAGCTATGTGGGAGAGAGTTTAGGTCTCTCTCTGAATTTGGCCTGTCACTACATTTGAAAATACAATGAGTGTGTTTGATTTTATGTTCATTGCAGATATTTGAAACTGTGCCTTTCATTATAATCATTGAATGGTTCGGGTTGGAAGGGACCTTAAATATCATCTTGTTCCAACTCCCCTGCCATGGGCAGGGACGCCTTCCACTAGACCAGGTTGCTCAAAACCCCATCTAGCCTGGCCTTGAATGCTTCCAGGGATGGAGCATATGGTATTTGTATTGTACTGGATGTTTAAATATATCACTTGCAAGAATATATTAACTAGCTCATCACAAATATCACAGTTTAAAATAAAAACATGTACTGTTTTTGAGAATTTATGCTAGCAAATATGCAGCCCAAGTGAAGGTGATACCAAGTATGTATTGAGCAGTGGAGTCCACAGATGGTGCTGAGAGTGACTCAGGATGTCTCTGGATATGTCCATACACTTGTACTAGGTTTGTTCAAGATTATTTTCTGGAGTCCTTCTCCACCCTTTATACTTACCGTTTAGACCTTCGAACGTAACTGCTGGCTTCCTTTGGGAGGAGACATGCACAAACAGCTCAGAGCTGAGATTACTGCTGAGTCAACTCAGTTGAGGGCAGCCAGTGGCTTTGTGAGTCGTATTTTACTACCAGAGAGAGTACAGGTGCATCCACACAGTTGGATCTTTACAGATGTTTGTTTTAATCTTGTCTTGAACTCTAGTAATGGGGAATCAATAGCTTCCTGAGGTGTCGTCTCCCACTAGTTAACTGTCCTTTCAGTTCATGCTTTTTCTCTTGAGTGCTACAAATTAAACCAATTTGTCTTACCCTCCAAGGACACTAAAAAAAAATTGTTTACTGTCCACTTCGTTTCAGCCTTTATTATGCTTAATACCTATATTTTTTTCTTTTTAGTCTTCTCACTAAGCAGGTACAATTCTTTAAAGCTTTCCCGAGTTGGCAACTAACTTAAAAGATGTTGAACCTGATATCCCCAGTGTTACTTTCCTGTGAACTTTCTCCAGGTTGTACACATCTTTATTACAACAACAACCTGCCCTCCAAGAAGTGTTCTTGACATTCCATTTGAGGGTGAGGTTTGCCTTTTTATAACTGTACCTAAAAACAATACCACCACCCCCTAGACAGACCCCTGCAGAATGCCTGGGTTTGCAGGCTGTTCTGCTGCAGAGCTCTTTCCAGTTCAGGAGCAGCCTACTGTCAGCTAGGCTGAGGGTGGATATATTTTTTTCAATCCATTGTGCAAACACTTCCCACATTTTTCATCTGGACCAGGTTTCTACTTGTGGGACCATCTTCTGAGAAATGTCAAAGACCTAGCAAAAATCAAGATATACCACATCTACTCTTTTCTTTCTCCCCATTATGGTTGTATTTCTGCCGAGAAAGAAATTACTTTGGTTTGATGAGTTGAAGAGATGTTCTTTATGTTCACGTTAGCAATGTTTTACATAATCAGACTTACTTCCAAAACATGCTTTCAGACTGACTTTGTTTCATAATCTCTCCAGGTACCCCATGAACCCTCAGGATCTGCTTTCATTCTTGTAAGAAATTGGGGTTACCCCTGTTCATTTCCATGGCTTTAGGAACTCAGGACTTCTTGGAGAGTTCCCAAAGATAATCAATTAATGTCTCAGAAATTACTTCAAATACATCCTTAAGTGCTTTAGCATAAGTAAATATTCTCCTGGCTCTTCTTTCCCTGTTCCGCTCTGCGCTATTGCTGCCTCCTTGTTGGTATTAATTCCATATAGCATCTGATTGTAATTAACCTTTCTATGAAACCTGAAGCAGCCAAAGTATTGATTGCATCAACCTTTTTTAGTCATCCTTTACTTGTTCAACTCACTTATTAAGCAGTAGACCTGGGTTTTCTTTTAATCTTTCTTACTTGAGAGGTATTTGCAGTCTTTTCTTATACACCTGAGCTGAAACTCAAAACCAGCTTTCAGATACAGATGGGAAGACACCGAAATGTGTGCTGTTAGATTTTCAGCTTTCATTTGCACTGGTTACATATGAAACCTTAAGGTTTCTCACTTACATACTTGTTAAGCTTGACTCCTGTTATTTTCATATGTTCTTATGATAAAAGTGTGTTTTATATCCATACATAAATGGAGAATTGACTAGTGAGTGAGCCACTTCTGTAATCTGGCTCTCACTAACCCAAAGTTAAATACTCATACATATTTCAAAAATTTCATGTTTTATTTTGTATTAACAACCAGTGAGAATTAAGTTTTCTGTTACCAGCGTTATAGCCAAGATGATACCAACACACATCAAGAAGTGAAAGAAAAGTAAAATTTTAGGAAGATACTAACAAGATACTTACAAGATGATAGGTATTAACAGTAGTCGTCCTTCTGTTTTCTGTACAAAATGAAGAAAAAATATCAGCAGGTGTCATTTTGTAGAAATTGGTACAATAACTAATAACTTTTTATATAAAGGAATAAAAATCTGTGAACTGCACAGTGTTTTACAGATACTAAACCAGAGGAGATGAAGCAAATCCACCCGCGAGTTTGTTGACCTGTGCAATGCATGAGGGAAGTAGCTGTGTGGAAATGGGATTTGCAACCACTAGCATGGCTAAGCCCGCCCACAGAAAGCACTCAGAGAAGGATGTGCTTCAACTCCTTTCTCTCTTCTGACTTTTGATGCTTGGTGCAAAGCTGTAAGGGCTCACTCTGGTGCGCTTGGGGATCCTGGTCCGGAAATTCCTCTTACTGAACAGAAATATGTATTGTTCATTTAGTGGCAGAAGGAAATCTGACCTCCTGCTTTCAGGCTGAACTGGAAAATGTGTTGTTCTGATGCCTTTTCTGTAGTAGCAAAACACTGGTCCAGGAAATTGGAGTTCTGGTTTCAGCTTGAGAAGCTCCAAATTCGTATTTCCCAAAACTGAGAACACTCCACCCACCAGGCTATAAACTCTTTTGGGTAGTGGCTGTCTGCTCCATGGTGGTTGTCTCATGGTATAGCCAGATCCAGTTCTTGCCTAGGTGTTGTACCCTGTGCAAGTGTGAAAATGGGTAGCAACCCCCAACCCTCCCATCCAGCTGTGTTTTAAAAGAAGCCAGTCTTCACCTAAACAGCCTCTTTACATTTGTAGCTATTGTTCTTTTAAGGTCTGAATACTGCATGAGCCTGGCATTGCAGAGTTTTATATACCCCAGCAGATGGCATTGAATGTTCATTTATTCAATATACATAGTACTTTTATCTCTGCTCTGAGGGCATTCTTAGGGGGAAGGGAGAGTTATTCATGCAAACTAGTTGTCTGATTTTTTGTTTAGTTATGCTGGTGCAGATCAGAAGAAAACCCAGTTAAATCCACAGTATTACCGAGGAAAACTGAAGCAGATAAAAGTATAATTAGGTAGTACTGATATAATAATGAGAAAAGGCAATCAGTGTCTTTAACTGTAGCCTTTTCAATTCTGTTAGTAAAAAAAAAATGCTTATGCTATCCTCCATAATAAGAAAGGAATAACAGTGGTAAATATCAAAGCTGTTAGCTGTATGTTTCATGGCTTAATGCTAAAATGAGGCTGTTTGACATGAGTCTTTGGGATGATTTATTACTATCCAACATCAGTTTACAATTTGCTGTCCAGGTTAGCGTATTATCTATTTTGTTAGGCTGGGATCACCAGAGTTTGGAGGAACTCCAGCCCTCCCTCTCCTTTTCTTCTAACGCCTCCTTTGCACGGCACGCGTGAAAGGAGAGGCAGCATCGCTCCTCTCCTGTGGGAATGCCCAAATATTTGCTCTGTGCCAGCTGAGGACTGAATACCGACCAGAAAACCGTTCCTCCTGTTATTTAAGAATGACATTTTGGTAGTGAAGATGAATATTTCATTCTGTCAGCTATGCTGCACATATGGGGCCTTCAGAATGAAAAGCGCTGCATGCCAGCCGGGTGGTGGAAGATGGTCAAAGAGGCTGACTGCTTGAGGGGAGACAATTTCTGCTGTTTCCTATATATATCACCCTGGAACATCCAATTTCCTGGCTTCTGGTGCACTGGCTGTTGTACAGGGATGCAAGAGGACAGAATCTTTGTGCCAGGTAGTTGCAATTAGCTGGACCTTCTGGCATCAGTATTTTTTCACTACAGGCTAAAGACCTACAGCTGGCAGGAGTCAGAGTCTTCTCAAGCTGTAGAGACTGATCATATTTTATTCAGTCTGAAAATTTTTTATTGCCTCACTACATCCTCTGTCCAATTAATAAATGGAGTATATCAGTTATAACAATAGTAAGGTGTTACTTTTCTATGGTATATGTGTGGGTGTGTTTCTGCCAGTTGACAGAGAATGCCTGATGTCAAAGGACAAAAGGGGAGACATTAATTTCTCTTTAATTTACAAAGGAATATAATTGTGTGCATTTTGTGGCAACCTTGCCTGCTTTTCATAGTGACCTAGAAGAATTCTGTTCAAAAGGGTGACAGGTTAGCAATTTGTACATGAATACCCAATGTCAGAAACGTAGCCCTTCTTTAAATAAGAAAGCAGAAGGTAAATCTGTTCCCACTGACTTCCGTGAGTCTGAGTGGTTTTTTGAGTCACTGTTTGTGGTGTTTCAGCCAGTGACAGAAAGCGATAAAGTGTTGTGGGTTATATTTTAATAAACCTTGTGATCCTGACAGGGTGTCTCCTAACCACTTCAATAGAAAAAAAAAAAAAAAAGTGAGGCTGGAAATGCTGCAAGGAGGAACCTGCACAGGAGTTTTTAGAGTCACTTTTTTTCTCTCTGGTCCAAAAGTATGGTGTAAAAACTTGTCCTGTTAAGTATATTGCCACCTTCATCTAGCCTCTGGAGGGGTTAGGCAAGACAAATAGAAGCTTCCTGAATTGCATAGGTTTAATTCCAAGATGAAGCAAAAGACTAGGCAGGCCTCACTTCAGAGAATATGAAAAAGGCATGTGAATAAATGGTCAGCTTTTGTGGTATGGCCAGCTATCCTTAGAGAATAAAAGATTTGCCATAAGATGATTGACTGCTGCATTTTATTTTTTCAGAACTGCTCTTTTCCAGCCTTAGATATAAATCTTCAGTATTACATTGATACTGAATGTATTTAAGCAAACTTCACATAAACTTATTTGGTATACCACGTGTTTATTGTGTTATCTTGCTAGTTGTGCCCTTATTTAGTTAAATAATTTTGTATGCTTTGCATTAAATATCTCTTAGCTCAGCTGCAGTTGTAAAATGCAGTATCATTTTCCACTGACTTAAGTAGGAGCAGTGTTTTATTTATGAAATCCATGTGATTTAAACACTTCCTTACTACTGACCATAATCTGTGATGAAATTGGATTTAGAGATCCTGTGTCATTGTCCTGTTGTTTTGGAACAGATTAAAGGATGGGAGTCTTTCATGAGTAACAGCAGAGGAAAAAGAAAAGTTCCTAGTTGCTTTCTGGAAGCCATCAGCCAATGTGATGTTTTCAGTCTCCAATAAGAGGATGATTTATTGATGACTTTTTGGAGTGTATAACATCACAAAGCCAACACCTTTTCAGGGCACCCTGGAAGTAAACATCCTTTTGCTTTCTTCATTAGTGAGTATCCAATTTCCAATTAGTGGATATCCATTTTTTTCCCCTCTTTTCTTACAATTAATTTCAATTTTTACAATGTTCTGATCTTTTATACCTTGCATGTTGCAAACTGTCACTGACTCTGAGTAATAAAAATAGTAAAAAGACATGCTGTAATACTTCCCTTTTTAGTACTGAAAAAATTTTACCTTTTGGATATATATCCATTACTGCATGTAAGTTCGGGCAAGATCTAAAGACATAAAAAGAAAAGAAAAAAACAATCCACTTTAATATTAAAAATTGCCATTGTTCTGTGAAACTTCTCAAAGAATCTAGCTTAACAGAATGAGTGAAAGCTGCAAGGATGGTAACTAAATTTGAAAAACTATTTGGCAGATTTGGAAGTTCAACAGTCTTGACCTTAGAATTTTGTTCTCTTACAGCTCCAAGTTTGGTGCAGTTACAGAGTGCTCTGCTCATTTTGCAAACATTCATTTTAGACATAAATATTGTAGCAGCCTTATTGATGTTTTAGCATATTCAGTATATTGTTCGAGGGATGAATTTGCTTAGGGAGATAGGAGCTAAACCTCTCTTTGAGCACGCAGCTGTGCCACTGCACATGGCTCCCTTCCCATTCTGCCAGCCAGCAGAATAAGTGCAACAATTTCCTCTAGTCCTAATGTGGTGTTACAGCCATAGGGAATATGTGAGATATATTGAGTGTGGAAGAGACACATAATTGGGTCTTGACTTTACTCTGGTGTCCTGGATGATGGTTCTCTCGTCATCACCCTCTTTACCCACTGGACCTTAGCTCTGTATCAGCCTGTCCAGTGACATTTATGCATCATTGCAGTAGACAGTACTTAGTATTCAAAAACAACAGCAAGAAATATTTTGCAATGGAGATGTGGCCAGGGATCACGTAAGGACTACATTAAAGCACACTTATTTATCTAGTATCTAAGCATCCGCCCTTGGACTTGCCCAAAGTTTGTGAAATACCAACACAAATCTTTGAGTTTCAACGGCCCCACTCTCAGGATTACATGCCAATTTAGGTTAGCAGCAGCTTTTGAACAATGAATGAAGCTCAGTGGTTTCCTGTTCAGTGAGCAGGCTGTAAACCACACGAGAGTCATCTGGTCTTTCACTGTCTGCTGCTTAGAGCATGGGCGCATCAATAATGAAACTCTTATTGATGTTACTTATCAGTGCTTTGAGAAGTAATGGATTTACTTACTTATTCGTTGGCAAAGTTGTCTTCCTGCTGTTTGAATCTGCTGGGCGATGGGCTATTGTTTTCCTGTTAGCTCTGACAATTGAACAAAGTTTACTGTTAGCAAGCAGCAGTAAGTGGGGAAGAAATGTGAGTGCGAGCAGAGTCAAAAAACAAGTTTTCAAATCTGGGGAGCATATGTAAAAGACTCCCTTCTTCTCTACCTCAGACATTTCCATTCTCTGAATGTTTTGCTGATTTTCTTGTTGTCTTCAACTATTTGGAGAAAAGAACAACTTTTCTCCTGCTGAGAGAATGAAAAGCTGAAAACTGAATTACTGCATCCAGTGTTTTGGTTTCTTTAGTTATTAAACTCTTGTACAATTGAATAGGAATTAAAACTCAGGGGCACCTATCCAAGATCTCTATTGCTTGTAAAATACTTGCTAACCACCAGCGATGTAGCTATCAAAGTCACAGAGATCAGTTCTCTTGGCCTCTCTACTTCTGGTTGCTCTTAAGCCCCACTTAGAAACAGAGCTCCTTATTTTAGTCATGTAAAATAGCACTGATCTGTGAATCCTTGAAACAAACACTGAGATGATTTCAGCTTTTACCCTTTGACTACCAGAGACTTTAATGTTTACAGCAGAGGAGTTAGGATTGTCTCACCAAATA